AATATATATCAGAATATATTTAAATTATAAATTTAAGTATAGTATATGATAATATATCTTGTTTCCCAAAAGGGAGGATAAGAGGAATGTACTTCACTGATCACAGTAGATCCAAGCTTTTGTATTTGGTAATGCAGAAAGTCTACCCACATAGGACTGTCCTTCACTACTGCTGCTTCCCAGATAACTGGATACATTAGTACCAAGTTAATTCTTGTACTTCCCTCAGCATCCAAATAGCTCTTTCCTTGGCTTTAGCTGCAGCATCAGAGGTGATGCTTGGCAAACAGGGGCTGGATCTAGCACGGTTTTCCTCTCAAAGAATCCCAAGGCTGTGTGTGATGGTGGCACGTGCTTCCTTCAGTACCTGAGATTCAGCTCTTCCCTGCAGGCCTGGGGCCGGGTGCTCTGCTGCAGAGCAGCACTTGCTGGCTCAGGTGATGATTCCTGTTTGATCTTGAGCTGGATTTGGGTGATGCACAGCTCTGTCCGTGATAGCTGGATCCGAGGCCGCAGGTGAAACCTTTTGCATTACAGAATTAAGTGACAAATTAAATATGCAAATAAGCTGCTTTTATCCATAGCTTCCACTGTTGGTAGCTGATTTTAAACTACTTCCTTCCTTCACCTCCCACTGTGCAGCCAGGCAGCTCTGGCAGTGTGTTGGTGCCGTTTCCTTCCAGTCACAACGAGTCACTTGTTTGTAGAGCAATAACCTTGCAGTTCACTTTGTCTTTTGGTGTTAACCAGAGTATTAGCTGATCCTGTCCAAGGTGTTCCCTTGTGTCGGGAAGCACGGATTGCCTCTTCCCTGCTCTTCCATCCAGCTGGAAGCCTATGGTTGTGTGAAGTCACAGATAAACCCTTAGAGGTAGAACTGTGGGTTAATGTGGAAATGGATGTGATGGATTTCCTGCAGGGAGAGCCTGGCTTCAGGATGTGTTCCTGGATTCAGTTCCTCTATGTGGTGCTTGGAATGTCAGAAGATGATAAGTAAAGCAGCAAACACCAGGAGAGGCCTGGCCTGGCTGGAGCCAGCACTGGCCCCACACAAGGGAGCTGTTACCTCGAGTTGTGTGTGCTGAAACATGTGGGTGAAGGTGTCAGCCGTGCTTTGAAACTCTGTGCAACTTCCAGACGGTTTTTAAGCCTCTACTTGAATTCACATTAAACTTCAAAACCTGCTTTCCCCAGCGTTGTCTCACTTTGAAGTCTCTTCTCTGATCTTTGGCACAGCTGTGCTGCGTGGAGGTTGTGGGATTTAGGGGCTGGTTTGTGGTTATTGTCTTTAGTCCTCACATGCAGAAATGGGGAGAGAAATGTAAGCTCTGGAGGGTATTTCTGGGGCTTTGGTCCCAAATCCCTTGATGGGGGCTGGGATTTGCTTCTTGAAGAGCACAGTGCTGAGCAGAACACAGCAGTCCTGCCACCACCAGTGTTTTGTAGAGGGTTTTGCTTCATTAGGCAGGGCCTTCATTTCTTAGAGCAAGAAAGTGTCTCCTGCTTGGCTGTTAACAATCTCTTTGGGGAGAACCCTCCAACTGTGTGTTGCTGCTTGGTTCTCACACCTCTTGTGCGAAGCTCAGCTGCAGGTGGTGATGTGGGAGCAGTGCTGGGTCTCCTGTGCATCGCCCAGTGAAGCAGAGCTGTGGTTTGGCTGTGCCAGTCCTGCCCTGCTCTCAGCAGTGCCACAGCACAGGGTGTGTTTCTTCAGAGCTGGAGCTCACATCCCACAGAAGCATCGTGCCAGAACTGGATGGATGCTGCCACTGAAATAGCTAACCTTTGACTAGACAGCAGGGAAGAGTGAAGGATTGCCAGTGCTTTGGTGGTGAGAAGCTCCAGGATGAGCTGCCCTCTTGGCTGAATTGGATCAGTCCTGGGCTGTGCTTGATAGGAAAATGTCCAAAAGCCTTATTTTCCCTTAACAGAGACTATATGAAGGAATTCTGAACTTTTCCTTGCCTCCATCCAGCTGCTTGCCTCTCGCTGGCAGGTCTCAAACCCACAAACCTCTATTGGGGATTTCTGTAGATGCCACAGCCTGGTGGGGCATGAACATGAGTGCAGCTGGGGTTGTGGTGATGCCTCTCTAGCAGAGATCCTTCTCTCCAGGGGCTACCTACCACAAGGTCTGCTGGAGCACAAGCATGTCTGTGCAGCTGAGGCTTGCAGGGCAGCAGCCTGCAGGAGGAACGCTTGGCTTCAGCCTGTGGAGCTCCGGCAGCACGAGCTTTGTGTTGACAGTGGGAAGTAACTGATGACAGGGCAGGCTACCCCTCCTCTCTGCTCTATTTTCCGCTCGTCATGAGCTTGCAGTGGTCCTGCCAGCAGGGAAGGCCAGGACAAAGTCCCTGACTGTCATCCTGTCCCCTTCAGCCCGCTCACAAGGAAGCACCGTGTTAGGCATTGACAGCGTCACTCGGCACTCCTGGATTCAGCCCCATCTCTTCCCCTCTGCCCAGGTGGCAGCTCTCAGGTTTCAGCCTCCCAAAGTCTGGGCTGAGGAACTCCTGGCTGGAATTATTTTTGGCACGATGGACCATTTCTTCTAGATGCACGCTTGTTTTAATTTGGGTTTCCAAGTGTACCAGGAGTTGTAATTGCATATACAGTCTGCATACAACCAGGAGGCAGAGCTGCAGGAGCAAGGTCCTCATTTGAAGTGGAGGATGGAGGGCAGGAATAACACTGGCAGCGCTGTCTCCACAGTGAGTATCCCTCGTGCCCCCTATCACAGAGGGAGACCCCGCTCTTGGCTTGATCAATTCCTCACTGAAGGGGCTGAGCTTCTCCTGTTCCTGGGGATCCTGGTGAGGTTTCGTTCATCCTGTCAGATGGATTTTCTGAGACATGCCTGGGCTTCCACAAGGCGGGGCAGGATGGTCAGGGTAGAGGTGCTGAAGCACCCCACTTGCACCCTGCAGAGCCACTCGGGGTGTGTGTGCATGGAAGAGCCTCAGGGCTGGGAGTCACTGGATTTCTCTCTTTGTACCTTTCCCATGCAGGGAATTCCATTAGCTATTGAAAACCTGCCTGGGAGCGTAGGGCTTCAGCACTATCGCATCTGGTGGGATAGGTCTGGAGGTTACATATCACCAAAAAAGATCCATAACTGACCCAGAGCCTGGAAGAGCCCCTTCCTCATGTGGCTGCAGCAGTTCTAACCACGGGCATGTATTGGATTGCTTCATGTCCTTCAGACTGAGAAACAGGTTGCTTCTTTTCTAATGGGGGCTGCACAGTTGGGATTACTGGAAGCACATCCTTTCTGCTTGCAAAGAATAATGTTAGGTGCCATTAAGTTAAAGTTGTTTCCATATAAGCATGAAGGTGAGTGCCAGGCTCTTTTCCTTCAGGTGACATCTTGGTCTGCACAAGAACAGCTGATAAAGAAGGTAAATACAACCAAACACAGAGTGGGGCACTGAAGCAGGATCGCTCCAACAGGGGCTGTTCCAAATGCTGATGGTTCTCTGGGGATTTCTGTTATAAACCAAAGTAAGTTCATTTGCTGCTAAAGCACAGCAGCAGCAGCTCCTCTTTGTGGAAAGCTTCCAGCTCCAGCCCTTCTCCAATGGCTTCCCAGCGTTTCCATGCTCCTGTGGCTGCAGGAGGAAGGTGCTCAGCTGTGGGAGTACCCATCACCAGGATGTCAGACCTGAAACTCCAGCACTGTGGGATAAAAGTGATGTTATTCCAGGGCTGCTGTGATGTTTGGGCAGTTCTGCACTCAAACCCCCTCAGTTTGTGCAATGATCTGTGTCATCAGTGGGAATTGCCTGTTATGGGGAAGAAGAATAATCAGTAGGAGGGTTGATTTTAACTCCTTTCCTTCTTGCCTTGGCTCCCAGGACAGGAGAGCTGCAGTGTGCTTCACAGCTCCACGCAGGACCTTCTGCATCATCCTGTCCATCGCCTTGCTCTGTGCCATTGGCATCAGCATCCTGGGGGTTCTCATCTTCTCCCCCAGCTCTTCTGAGGTAAGAGACCCCAGTCAGGCAGGAAGCCTTCTGCTCACCACAGCCTTAATGAGTGTCAGCACTTGGTGGGAGGGATGAATGGGCTGCTGTCCTGGATTCAGCTGTTTTTCAACTGTACAGTTGCTTTTCTCCTTCTTAGTAGCTGCTGCAGAGCTGTTTTGGCTTTAGCCTCAGAACAGAGCTGATAACACACTGATGTTTTAGTTGTTGCTCAGTAAAGTTTACTCTGATCAAGGACTTTTCAGTCTCATGCTCTGCCAGTGAGGAGGGGCACGGGAAGCTGGAAGGAAGCAGAGACAGGACCCCTGTCCCAAACTAGCCAAGGGGTATTCCATCCCACAGCACATCATGCCCATGATAGAGACCGGGGGAGTCACCTGGAAGGCTCAGATCACTGCTCAGGCTGGGCTGGGTCGATGGGTGCTGAGCAATTGTATTGGGCATCACTTGTGTTTATTATTGGGGTTTTCCTTCCTTTTTTAGTTTCGTATTCTCTCCCCTTGTTATTCCCCTTATCATTATTGTTATTGGTGGTAGCAGCAGTGGGTTTGTGTTATACCTGAGTTACTGCACTGTTCCTGTCTCAATCCATGGGATTTACATTCTGCTGATTCTGCTCTCCATCCCTCCGGGAGCAGAGGTGGACACAGATGGGGTGTGAGCATGGTTCTGGGTTACTGGCTGGGCTTAAACCATGATAGCTGTGATCTGGGCTGGCTTCAGCTGGTTCCTATTTCTGGAAGACCAGCAGGCACAGGGGCAGAAAGGTGCTGGCAGTGCTGGCGAAGTGGCTGCTAAAAACAGCATCCCTTCAAGTGAGTCTCAGTGTGAGGGCTGAGCTCCTCTGTGTCAAAGCAGGAGAGTTCCGATGTGTGGCCTCTGAGGGAGGGTGAGCTGCCAGTGAGCTGTGCTGGCTGGGGAGGCAGATCCTGCTCTCCTGAGCTCCCCCCTGCATCCAGCTCTGGGGCAGCAGCACAAGAGGGGCATGGAGCTGTTGGAGTGAGTGCAGAGGAGGCCATGAGGATAGTCAGGGGCAGGAGCAACTCCTGTCTGCAAACAGGCTGAGAACACTGGGCTGTTCAGCCTGGAGAAGAGAAGGCTCCTTAAGGGGAGACCTGAGAGCAGCTCCAGTGCCTAAAGGGGCTGCAGGAAAGCTGGAGAGGGGCTTGGGACAAGGGCCTGTAGGGACAGGCCAAGGGGAATGGCTTTAACCTGCCAGAGGGGAGACTGAGATGAGCTCTTAGGCAGAAGCTCTTCCCTGTGAGGGTGCTGAGGCGCTGGCACAGGGTGCCCAGAGAAGCTGTGGCTGCCCCATCCCTGGCAGTGCTCAAGGCCAGGTTGGACACAGGGGCTTGGAGGTAGCTGCTCCAGTGGAAGGGGTCCCTGCCCGTGGCAGGGGTTGGAGCTGGAGGAGCTTTAAGGTCCCTTCAGCCCAAACCAGGCTGGGATTCTATGATTGGTGGCACTGTCCTCTCTTTGTGCCCAGGCTGGCTCGCAGCTCATCCACCTGACACTTCAGGGCCAGCAGGACCTGCTGAGAAATCAGACAGCTTTGGTGGACAAGTCCAGGAGCACCGTGACCTACTACATCACCTCACAGAGCAACCACACCGCCGTGGTGCTGTATGACAGCAGGAATGTAAGTGTGTTAAATCACCTTCCTCGTGTGCAAGGGAGTGAACAGAGGAGCCCAGGCTGGTGGGAGAAGAGTTACAGAGGTGGGAGCAGGAGGTGTAGACCAGGAAGTGCATTAACCAGCCACTTTAGGTGCCTTTCTCTGCACCTTTAGGCAGGAAAGAACACAGGGCAAAAGGAGGGATGTCCATTTGGGGGCTGTTAAGGTAGCTGTGGGGGCCGCTGACTGCTCTAAGGGGGCACAATCTGTCTTGCAGGGCTACGTGTGCTACAAGCCCATGGAGCAGCGTGTGTGCTACCTGAAGAGGATGGACTCCTGGGACCTCCAAGCCCTACAGACACCTCTCAACACATCTGAGCAGAGAGTAAGCAGCGGCTGCGGCCACTCCTGGGGCAGCTGAGTGGTCAGGGGTGATGAATTGGGCTTTGCACAGAGTCCTGCCTTGCTGAAGGCCCTTTCCTGCAGGGATTTGGGTTTGCAGTGCTGACTCTTTAACACCAGCATCCCAGATATGGCTAAATGAGGGCAGGGGCTCTCCCAGCCGGGGGTGGTAGCAGCAGCAGTTCACTGCTTGGGGGGGCTGGGTTGGTGCCTGGCACAGGAGCAGGGCTCTGCTTTGGAGTGCTGCGTGTGAGCTCAGAGCAGCAGCTCCTGCTTTTATGGATACCCAATCTGTGAGAAACAGCAGAGCTGCACTTGGGAAGGGGGGAATATGTCCCATGGGGTGAATAGCAGGGCTCTCACAGGACCCACTCCCACTGGATTCTGTTACCTGCTCAGAAATCCAGGGAACAAAAAACAAAGGGGGCTTGTTAGCAATTCACGGGGAGGAAGGTTGGAGCAAATCATGTACACAGACCCTCTGAACTCCATGCTAATGGATGCATGGGCAGGGAGCAGATTCTGTTTCAAGAATACAGAAGGCCCCATGGTTTTGTGCCCCTGTCATCTGCTCTCCATTACCTCGGGGGCTCCTTTGCCTGCTGCTGTAGTGTTTAACCCAGAGCAGTGAAGGAGCACAGCACCCACCAGGGCAGGCTACCAAAGGGATTGCAAAGAGGAGAAAGCATCTGCCTAGCTGTGAGGCTCCTTAATGGAAGTCAAAGAGTCGGTGGTGCCTGTCCCCGCCACCAAATGGCCTGTGTGTCCCCTGCTCCCCAGGCCACAGGGCCAGGAGGGACAAAGAGCCTGCGGAGGAACTAACAGGGACGTTGTTTGTTCCAGGCTGATCAGCTGCTCCGTCTCAATAACCAGACCAAGCACTACCAGGAGTTCCTGGGTGTTCTGGCAGGGGGAGAAGTGGACCCCCAGGGCCTGGGGGAGGCTGTGCAGACCCTGTGTGAGCAGACTCCCATCTTCAGAGTCAGGAGAAGCGAGGGTGAGTGGTGTGTGTGTTTCCCTTTGCACAGGAGGGAGGTGTGGTTGTTCTAGTACCTCTCAGAGGAGCAGGTTGAGCTGTGCAGAAGCTGATGCATGTCCTAGGATGGGCTGCCAAGGGACAGGTGACCTCTAGTGAGAATCAAACCATTGTTAGTGCTCCCCAAGGGCTGGCTCGTACCCACAACCTGCAGTGAACAGGCTGGCAAAGGCTCCGAGGCCCCTTCTCCAGGCAGCACAGCAGCTTGTGCATCCACAAAGCAGTCCCCTGCACTGCTGGTGGCTTAATGCTTGTCACCTCCATCCTCACCAAAGCAGCCTGCTGAGCTCTCCTTCTGTTCCATCTCACTCCAGCTTTAATGGGAAAGGTCATTCCTGGAGGCTCTCTGCTTGGCTGGCTCCCCAGCGACTACAGGAGCTTTCCCCTCACCCTGCTTCTGTCCTTGCTCATTTGGCAGGTCCAGGGAAGCAGCGCCTCATCTACCTTTGCATTGACATCTGCTTTCCAAGCAACATTTGTGTGTCTATCTGCTTCTATTACCTCCCCGAGTAAGTCCTGCGGCCATGGATTCCCTCTCTACATACTTGAACTGGATTCCTGAGACACCTCTGATTCCAAGGAAGGTAACAGCTCCACTAGCCCCCAGAGCTTCCTGATCTCATGCTGCTGGCAAGGACTGTTTAGAGAATGACCATAACACTGCAGCTGACCATGACAGACACTTTATTTGCAGCTGTGCTCAGGGCTGCACCATGTACGTAGGTATTAGGAGATCCAGGCCTAGAGGCATTTTGTGGTGTAGCTTGTGTTACATGGCTACAAGCCCAGCTCAACACAAGGTTATTACACTTGTTGGGGGGGTTGGCTTTTTACCAGTGCAGCTCTCCCAGTGAGTCTGTGGCATACACTTTGAATAAAGGGATTGCAAACCAAGGAATCAGCTGCCTCTCCTCTGCTCAGCCTCTTCCAGCAGTTAGAAAGGCTGATTTATTTTTTCTCCCACTTTGGGATACAGGAACATCACACAGCTGTCAGCAGCTAATGCCACAGGGATTCCTCTGGCTGAACAACACCCTGCTGCCCTCGGTGGGATCCTGCCTCCCTCTCCCATTCCCTTTTGTCCAGGCAGCCTCCCTTGGAAGCCACATGTGTTTCAGTGATGATGTGCTTGGAGGTGCAGCCTGGTCCCACTGAGGCAGAGGCAGCTGCTGCTGCCAGAGCCTGAGCCCTCCACCAGAGGAGGGGATGGTGGTTGCAGGTCGTGTCTTGGGCTCCAGTGATGGTGTTGCCACTGCAGGACAAGTGACAACAAGCAGAGGTCCTCTCCTCCCACATGTGGCCATTAGCCCAAGACGCTGTCGTTGAAAGCCAGGCAGACAACTGCTTTCTGGTGGCCACTGTATTCCCTCTTGATCTCTCCTGTCTCCACGCACCAAAGTCTGGCCAGGTTGTCAGAGGAGGCTGGAGAGAAATGGGAGAAGAATGGGTAAACTGCATTAACCTTTACACTTACCTTTTAATTACTATTACAAGACTTTCCCCTTGCTTCATTCAACACTATTATTACGACAAGAGGTAAGGGAGCTGTGCAGAGCAAGAAGCTTGCTGCATTTCTGTATTACACAGAGGTTTACGTGTTATTGTGGATGTTACATGTGTGGTTTGAAGGGACCATCCTGCCTCATGCTGCAAGCAGCAGTGCTATCAGGTGAAACAAACTGCACAGGTGAAAAACATCCCTCCAGTTTAAACAGATGCCCTGTTGCAGCACAGGGAGTTAGTAGACACTTAGAGGAGTTAGTAGATGCTTAAGAGATTTTAGTAGACACTTAAGGGAGTCAGTAAACGCTTAAGGGAGTTAGTAGACACTTAAGGGAGTGAGTAGGCTGTGTTGTGGGTGTGAGGCTGGGTGCTCTCCTCACCCAGCTGGGGTTGGCAATGTCCCAGCTACAGAAATGGGTGAGTCCTGTGCTCGTGCAGGGCCCTGGAGCCCAAACCAAGCGCTGCAGCAGGGCCTACCTGTGACGATGTACTGGGAGTCCCCGGAGAAGGCGCAGTCCCACATCCAGCCCCGAGACGTTTCTCCTGGGTTATTGCTCTTAATGCTCAGCTCTGTCATCAACGAGAAGTTTGAAGTCCTCCAGATCTTGCAGGTCTGATCTGCAGAACACGTAGCCAAGAGTCTGCGAGGAAGAGACGTGCAAGGGCAGCCTCATTAGTCACACTGCACGCCCAAGGGCCTCTCGTTGACTTGGGCCTGGACCAGTAGCGACCTGGAGACCTGAGCTCATTGCAATCACGCTTCTTTACACCTACGTCATCTGCTTTACAAGATTTGAGCTGAACAAGCTTGTGAAGGACACCAAGTTCCCCACTTTGCTCCTGGAGATCAGCAACTGAACCCCAGCTTCACAACACCTCACAGCCACAAAGCTTGTTGGGATCATGGTCCATGAGGCTGGGATGCACTGACAGCAACTCAGTGCCATGTCCTGCTCCTCCCTGGGGACCTGCAGGGCAGCGTGGAGCCAGCACCAGCCACATCTGGAGGTGTAGCTGGCCTCTGCTTGCCCAAAAGGACCATCATTTCCCACCACTGGCTGCAGCACTCACGTGGAGTCGGGGCTGAACTTGCACTGAAGCGCGTAGCGGTTGTGTGCAGGGATCTTGGTCTTGGGGATCAGCTGAGTCACCTCCTCCCCGATGCCACCCGTCAGGTTCCACACGTAGCAGTTTCCCTGTGGGGAGACAGCAGGTGATGGTCGCCCACCCCAAAGCAGCCTGGACTTCCCATGTCCGACCCCAGCCATGCTGCAGGCAATGCCAGTACATGCACCTGAGCACCATAAATCCCCCACACACACACTGGATGCCATTGGGGCTCACCGAGCTGTTCACAGCTGCCATGTAACTGGCATCGGGGTCAATGTGAACTGAGTTCACAGAAACTTCAGGCTCTGGAATCAGCTGCTCGTTGTGGTCGGTCTTCAGGTCCCAGATGTGAATGGCGCCGCTCTGATCACCCACGATCAGCTCTGCCTGCAAGAGAGAGCAGCCTCGTGTCTCTGAGGAGAACCCCGCAAGCAGCAGCCTCAGGCTGATGCTCAGATCGTGCCCGTGAAGCCTTGCTCTGGTTTTAACCATCATGGTCCTGTTTCGCCTCATTATTCTCCAGCACAGGGCTGCTTCAGAGCCCTAGGAGCCTGCTGAGTCCCTGTGCACTGGGAGCAAGCAGAGCACGGACCTCACACTGCAAAAAGGCTTTACAGAAGCGTTTGCTCAGTTTATATACCCCAGAGCAGGCAGAAGCTGCCTCAGTTCCAGAACCTTTGCACAGCTCCAGCAGCTTCCACAGAAGCCAAAGGATTTTCAGCAAGTCCCAGCCACGGGCATTCAGATGTGGGTTGGCCGGTGAACAACTGAAGCACTCAGGAGTGTACAAATACCTGAGAACCTCCAGCCTAAATGGGCTTTTCTCCCTCCCGCCCCTTCTCAGGGGAAGGACAAGAGGAAGCTGAAGGGCAGAGCTCTGGCTCCACTCCCGTGCTCGGAGCAGACCATGCTGGCAGCTCTCCACTAACCCAGGGCTTTTATCGACAGCTATGCGACAGCATCGCTTCAGCAGGTTCCCTGCAGGACAGCAGGTCCCAGGACCAGCTATTCCTGTCCCCCGAGGCAAAGGCTGGCTCCTGAGGAACACAGTTTGGAGTCTTTTTGGTTCTTGAGACCCAACTTCCTCTTAGCAGCTGTAAATGCCATTGCTAAAGCCATCACTGCTGTACCCAGGCTGTGAGAAGCCTCTCACCAGCATCATGGCAACAGGGAACTGCAGAGGGATGAAGCCATCCACATAAACACTGCCACCTTTGAACTAACTAACTGCCTTCTGCTCACAGACCAGCACCTCAGCAGCATCTCAGCCAGTGATTACTTCATGTGTAAGATCTATGTACAACAATAATGCTTGGCTTTAGCATTGTACGTTCGCACAGCACTGGCTCTATAGGAGCATCAGCAGCGTCTGGGTGAAGTGTGATCCAAATCATTGATCTCAAATCGGGTCTGAAATTCCAGACTTGGAGGTTAAACCTTTTGAAGATCAAACACAAAGAAACCTTTCTGGTGCTCGCCTGTTTACAAAGGTTTGTGCTGCCGAGTCTGTGAACACAAAATGGACCAGATGGGTTATTAACACTACAATGATACCACCACCATTCCCTCCAACGCTCTGTGCTCCAGCTTAGCCTTGTTTCTCAAGCCCCAGCCATCCCTTCCTTCATCACCCGAGTGGTGAACATGAACCTCGAGCAAATCTGACCCAAGTCCTGACGGTAACTGCAGCCCTGGGGTGTGCTCCTTGGCAGAGGTAACACCCTCACACTCCCCATCCCACCCAGTGCTGCCACTACTGTCCCTTTGCAACAGCCACCAGGTAGCGAGCACAAACGTGGCTGCTCCATGTCCTGCAATGCTCATGGGTCTTTGCCACCAGATCTCTTGCTGTGGATGCTATATAGAACTCTGCAGCCCCTCAGGCCTACCCGGAGGAGCAAGAGTAAAGTCTGGGCTGTGAAGTTGCAGTGAGACCAGTGCTCACCTGGTTGGGGTGCAGGCACACACAGTTAATGGGAGCGTTCACCTGGAAGATGCGCTGGCACTGGAGGTTACGAGACCTGCAAGAGAACAGGGAGCACAGAGCGTGGTTAACGGCGTGTGACGAGCTCCACAGCTTTGGGATGCTGCTGCTGGTGGCGGTGGTGCCGGTGCCCACCTGAGGTCCCAGATCCTGGCCATGCAGTCCTCCCCGCCCGTGTACATCCAGCGCCCGTCCTCGTGGAAGCCCACCGAGGTGATGTTCTTGCTCACGCCGTCGTAGTTGATGACGGGGTTGGGGTTGTTGGAGTTGAGGTCGTACATGCGGATGTGCTGGTAGCCTGCAGCGAGGGAGCGGGCAGGGGGTGACCCACGGCCCCGCTGCCACCCGTGCCCGCTGTCACCGGGGCCGGGCGCGCTCACCTGCGGCAGCGATCATGCTGCGGTCCGGTGTGATCTCCAGCGCGTTCACCTGCTGCACGCACCCGTTAAGGTCCGTACGAAGCAGCCCGAGCCCGGCCCCCGCGCTCCCGCACCCGGTGCGCGGCACCCCCCGGTGAAGGATACGGAGTCCTGGTGCTGCACGGTGCGGGTGCAGATGCCGCTGTGCGCCTGCCAGAACCGCACCGTGTGGTCGTAGCCGGCCGTGGCCAGGATGACCGGGTCGCTGCCCACCGTGCCCTGCGCCGCGTTCATGGTCACCGCACGGCGGGCACCGGGACCCAGCGGAGCCCCCGGTCCGTCCCGGTACCGGCGCTGAGCGCTCTGCGCACGCGCGGAAAGCGCGGCAGCTCAGCGCGCATGGAGTGACGCCGCTTGAGGCGGGCTCTGTCGGAGAGCGCATGTGCAGAGCGGGACGGCGGGAGGTACCATGAGCGCTGCGGGGGGGGGGGGGCGAGACCATGGAGCAACGGGGGAAGGAGCGGGGCACCAGCGGAACCGCCAGGGGGCGCCTGCTG